CAATGTGCCTGTAACTCTTTTCATATACGCTGTGCCGGAGAACAAAGAATCCATGTGCCTCTAACTATACCAGCAGCTTGGCATAAATTCTTTACAAGTTAGGAGTTATTTAATTTATGTATTGAGTAATCCACTCTGTCATTTCTGATTTTCTTCATTTTGTAACCCCCCCCCCCCCCTTTGTAACAATAGTTTCAAAGTCATTATCCTCTTTACTTTCAGAGCTGAATATTTAGAACAGGAAAAAACATATAAATTATGTCTATATTAAGAAATTAAGTGAGAAACTGTGTCAGTATGCAAGCTGAAAATTAATAAGTGTATTTAATTCAACACTTAAAAATGGAATGAAAAGAAAAAAAAACATTTGCCATAGCCTTCTTCAGGTGTGTGGGAGAATGAAGAAGAGAACAGGAATGTTAAGAAAAGTATGAATAAGAAGGACAAAGAAAAGAACATGTGAGAATATATACAGGAGTTGAGAAAGGGGTTTTAATGTGATGGGAACCTAGGAGAAAACTTTCTGGTAAATTGTAACAGGCCAGAATCTTGAATGAATAGAGAAACTTAGAAAGGTATTATCCAATAATAGAGAACGTGAGGAAGATGTCAGCCTAGTTTAAGGATAATTTTGACGTCTGATATCTATTTGGAGGAAGATTAACTAGGTCCTTGATTCATTGTGAAAGGACACATACAGAAAGGTCAGTGTAATTACACCTAGAGGTAAAATATGGAACTATTAGTTTGGATAGATCTTTGATCCTTAATGCTCTGACATGCTCCTTGACTTTGTTGGGTGGTCTGTTCCTGTTTTAACAGTATAAATGGTAGGATACTCTCTGAAAAAGATACAATATTGCTATTGCTGATATTGCTCCCTTTACTTTATACTTTACAGCTCAGACGTTACTTCAACTTCTTCATACAGTATACTGTAATTATGTACTGTATCATGCTATTATTGGAAATATTTTCAAGGGTATTGAAAGAGAATGGTATTATGTACATATTGTATTCATGGTACAAAGTGTTCCAAACAAAGGCTTCCTCAGATTTTGCCTTTTTAAATTGTGCTTTATCTAGATAATGGTTTATCATTTATTGCAGGATAACACTGTTAAATTTAATGGGGATTTTAATAAAGAACAGAGTAAATGTTTATTTTTTATTAAACATGAAACCTGTGAATCCAATTCACAAGAAGGTTTTGTATGTTGTTTCCAGCCTGTGTCACATTGTCACTTCTCAATTGCTTTGGGAAAAGCCTAGAATATGTCATTAACATTCAGGGCTATTTAAAAAAAAAAACAGTTGCCCCTAAAACCTCGCTTCCTGGGCCTTTATGCTTAAAATGCACAATGGAAGGTCAATGCACTCCTGCTGAAAAAGCCTGCCTCCTTCAAACACGTACACATGTATTTAGCAGTACACAGATGGCAACAATCCATTTATGGAAAGGGAAGCATTTTTGCTAGAAAGGCTGACTTTCATTTTCTACTTGAATGCATCAGTGTCAGACATCACGCAGGACAGGATGTCATTGCTTTCTATCTGCTTTCTATCTGCAGCACAGTGCTTTTTTCTTTATCACTTTGCATTTCCTGATGGTGCCTAGTCATGCCGCATAAGCATGATCTAGGTGACAGATCCATAGCTCAGGAAGAGAGTTTGCATCAGTGATGGTTGACATAGAACCCTGAGTTACCATGTGTCTACATTGTTTTATCACATCAGAATATCAGTGATCGTTAACATTCTGTTAGGTTTTGGGGGTCAAAGAATCAAGAAAAGGCTCAAGGATAGGTTTCCAGTATGGAAAAATAAAAAAATATCCATCTACTTGGCATAAGGCTTCATCTAAAAGCCACACTCTTCTACATCTATCACCTTACTTCTTGTCTTAAATTTCAATATCTACTTTAAATTCCCTCTAATGAAGGAAAACATTAGAGAGAATAGTTCATTGCAGAGCACATGTAGGAAGGAAATGTGAGTGCAAACATAAAAATATGAGGATATTTGTTAAATTAATCATATCTTATATATCCAATGTTCATTTATACTATTTGTATTTAGAAGAATATAGAAAAATATTAATTAAAAAATACAAAAAAGTTTCTTAATGAGTAGTATAATGATAAAAGCTGTTGACACCCTCTGAGAATTGTGGTCAGACTTTAAAATAATGGGCAGTTCAATCAGTATTGATTATGGAGAGTTGGGCATAATTTTAAAGTTTTAATAAAACTGTTATTATACAAAATAGTTTAGTGATTATTAGGAGTGAATTAAAAAAAAAAGGGAAAAGAAGTGCAAGTCCGTTACAGTATTGCTGGCAATAAAAAAAAAATGTTAAAATACCGTTTCTATTTCAGGACTTGTCATTTAAATACAGATTTAAGAGAAGTAGAGAGAAACTATTTCTAGATTACCCTTGCTATGACACATGTGATGAGGACTCAGCTGATATTGAAAGTAGGTCAGTCTATGAGCAACAGCTGGGGACAATAATGCAGAATTGTTCACAAATGATGTCAGCTTCAGCACATTTTTTCTGCTTTGCTTTGATACTGCTGAAACTACTGTACACTTTCATCTTCTTCATTTCACATTCATATTTATCCATGTTAAAATGCACTCATCTATCCAGTATCAGATAGATGCTTTTTCCTGGTAAATGGTAAGGTTTGTGACAACCCATAGGGACTATACTTGATAAGATTATTGCAGGGCATACACATAAAGTACACAATAATACAGTGATAGTTCGAAACACAAGACAGCCTAGTGAGCATGTTTTTGGAAGGTTCAAGGAATCTGAAGCACAGAATAGCACAAATCAAGTTGAAAACACCACGTGTAATGTATCCCAGTCCAAAACTGACCCCAACACCCAAGGACCTATAAGACAGGAACACTAAGTAACATGTAATTTTGCCCCCCCTCATAATCATATGATTTAAACATCTATACTGTTTGTGTTTCTAAGGATCACCTGATTAGGTTAATTTTTTAAAGACTTTCTTCATTTATGTCAAATAAAAACTAGATGACTTAGTGTACTATACCTTACATACTGTACATTGTCTTGACCAGGCCCAACCACAGTTTTCATATGTATTGCTTTTAAGCATGCAGTTACTATATGTTGCCTGAAAAGCAATGAACGGCATATACACAACTTATTCCATATATTCTAAGTAAAAAACAAAATGAAAGAAGTACAGTAGATCAGTAATCAGTAATCAGTAGGTCATGATTGAATAGGTATTCAAATCCTTTGTCATGGCAAACCTAAATAAATATAGGTGCACAAAGTAACCTTAACAAACCACACAATTAATTAAGTGGCCTCTCTGTGTGTGCAATAATAGTAGTTCACATTATTTCAGAATAAATACATTAATCTCTCTAAGCAAGGTAGTGAATTTGAAGCAAAGATCCCACCATGAAGACCAAGATCCAATTAACGGAAAAAGTTGTTTAAAAACACAGATCTGGAGAAAAGTATTACAAAATTTCAAGGACATTTTATATTTATTTGAGCATGGGGAATCAAACATTAAGAGGTGGAAAGCACCCAGAAATTGTATACTGTAGATCAGACTATCCCTGCAAGGAGAAACCAGGCAAGGAGGTACTGTAACTGTTTTAAGTAAGCATTGACAACTTTGAAATACTTACTGAGTTCAGTGGCAGAGATGGGAGAAAATGTCAACAATATCCCAGTCATTCTACAAAGCTGGCTGAGATGACAGAGTAGAAAATCTCAAATTTCAAATGGAATTTGACATCCATAAGATCCATTTAAGAATTTAAGATCCATTTACAGTAAGTGTAAATGTGGTAAAAATGCTAATTTTAGGATCTAAATGCAAAACATTACATGGTCTCACACAAAACCAACATCATGGATCACTCAGTTAACACTATTCCTACTGTGAAGCATGGTGGTGGAAGAATTATGCAATATCACTGCTATTCATCAGCAGTGATTTGAAACTTGTCAAGATTAGTGAGAACAGAGCTGGAAGAAAGCACTGGCAAATTGTAGAAAAGTTGTCTCAGAACTAAAACTAGGACAAAAATTAATCCTTCAGTTTGAAACTGATCCAAAGCACACGGCTAAAGCTATCCTGGAGTGGCATAAGACTGAGAAAGTGAATACCCTTGAGTGACCCAATCACAATTCTGACTTTGATTCAGTGGAAAGACTTTGAAAACTCCTGTCCATAAGTGATCCGCAAATAACTTGAGAAACCAAGAGTAAATCTGCCTAGACGAATTGCCAAAAATTGCTCCAAGCCATTGTATAACATTGGTTTAGCCTTACTAAAAAATACTTATTGCTGCCAAAAGTGTTTCTTACAAAATATTGAGTTCATGGATCTGAATACATATGCAATCAACATATTTCATTTTTTCCTCTTTAGTTTTTGCTGATAATTGCTGTTACTTATCTTCCCCTTAGAAATCTTCAGTTAGTGAAATTGCTAGTGCATTATTTTGCTCTTTCACAGAACAGAACATCCTAGGAGGGTTCTGAATACTTTTGCAAGGCACTGCACATAAAGCTTGATACAAACTACAGTATTTACCTCAGACCTTGACTGTTATGTGAATTTTCACAGGCAGCAGGTCTATGCATTGAGACTTGTTTTTCAATATGCCTTAAAGTTGTTGAATTAATAAAACAAATCTCTCTTCCCCTTTCTCGTTTTGCTTTGAAAATAAACTTACAGAGCAATCAGAATCCCATTTTTGGATTTTCTTGAGCAGATGACAAGATTGTAAGTTCTATTGGCTGCATCAACATATTTTCTTCCACTTTCACTAATAAACATTTAACTCCTGAGTAAACTCTGATTCTAAGCTGATATGGACAGTTGGTCTTCATAAATTGTGACAACAGGGTCATTGCTTTTGAGAACTAAAAATCCAGCTCTTTAAACTTTTGTAAAAGTTGTAACTTGTTTTTTTTTCTGTTGCTTTTTCAGTACGGCATAAAGAAGAAGGAGGAGCGGGAGGCAGAAGCTCAAGCTGCTTTGGAGGTTGCTGCAGAAGGCAGTCTTACTCGCCCAAAGAAGGCCATACCTCCTGGCTGTGGTGACGAAGCAGAAGAGGAGGAAGAGAGCATCATAGATACTGTCATGAAATACCTTCCTGGCCCCCTTCAAGACATGTTTAAAAAGTAACAGCTTTAGTGATATTTCATTGTTACCCTTTAGTTTATATGGCAAATACATTCTCCCTCAGAGACTTAGGAAATAGTTCCAAGTTAATCATGTGCCACCTATTTTATTTGTAAATAGCCTCTGGTTTCAATGAAGTATATAATTATATATATGAAACAAAAATAATAATAAAAAAAACTCTAAGAGTATAAGCCATACTTTACCTTTGAGGAAAATCTCAGTCATATGTTGTTGTTTGTTTTGTTATTTATAATATTTATATATATGTATACAGTATATATAAATATATACATACATGTATGTATATACCCTTCCTTACTCTGAAAGGATGAATACTTATGATAAAATACACCTTTTGTTTCATAAGTATTGATTTACCATAACATTGTAAACTGGAAAAGCAAATAACTTCAAATTGAATCCAAACAGTCCATTTTCAAGCATGCCAATGATAAAATCATGTGTGAATATATGTACAAGGATTTAATTTTTTGGTGAATTATATAAAGGTTAAAGGCAATAATTCTGGCTTTCAGTTTTAATTTTGTTTTCAACATATCACATCATGTTCACATCTGATAAATGTGTGTGCTTCCTAACATTGAATGAAGTGCTATCCCAATTTAAAATACTTCTGTCACACAACCGAATTACACAACACACTTGAAATCCACAAGCCAAATAAACTCATAGATATACAGTATATAATATAGAAAGTTTAATTATAAAACCTTTTCAGCAATGTTCTTAGGAACTCCATTACAGGGTGACATCATGGTGATCAGAGTAGCAGAAAGCTAAAGTCTAGAGGGCTATTTTTCCACAGTTTCAAAAAGTTAAATAGAGATACACATTTCTAAATCATTTTATGTTTTGTATGCATTTGATGTAAACAGTGACAACATTACAGGATTTCCAGAGAAGTACTATAATAAATGGCAGGTTAAAAATATTGATATATAAGATATACTGTAGTTATAGAAAAATATTGAGAAAGAGCCTGCAATACTAAACTGATAATTCCAGATAATCTTCACTGCTGTGTGTTCAAATAATTAAATAAAAAATGAGTTTTCATATATACAGTAGTTTTCTCTGCCTAGCAGTGGGAAAAAAATAGAATTTCCACAATACCACAGAAAAGATATTTACTTCTTAACCTAGATATGTTTTCATTGTTTTATGCTAGGACATCAGCACAAAAGCAAGTCCTACTAAAAACTGAGTGTTTGTTATGGTAATTTATGATTACAGTTACATTGAAAGGCTGTGATACCTGTTATGAAAGCACACTAACAAATGTTGACACATAATGCGTGTTACATATTTTGTATGGTGCTCTACCTTGTTTATTAATTAATTGTTAAGGAAACCAGCAGGACTGAGTTTCCATTGAATTTGTTTTAGTTAAAAAAATCACAGACAAATCAAAATATTACTCTAAGCCTTTCTGTGGCTAATTTTCCCATTATAATACATTGACATATCTGCTGTACAGTTTTCTTGCTTCTTAAGAAAGCTATTCAGCATATCAGTGTTTGTACTCTGAATACTGTAAATAAGTTCAAAAGATTCTTGGAAGCCTCTGAAATTGGATTGAATAGTTACAGTCTCAAAATTAGAGTATGATTATGACTGTTAAGCCCCACGGTTCTCACTTATGTCCTGATTGCATTATCTGCATCATACTGTTTTCTTACACATCTCCTCATACAGTTATGCCATTATTTATGAGACAGTCTTCCTTTTTTTATATTTTTTATTTTCATCTTTCAATACACTTACCAGAAAAAAGAACTGCAATCAATTACATTATACAATTTACATTTTAAGAGACAAGCAGTGCTCATGTGCTTAAAAGACATGTTTGTGAACATGAAGTCACTATGTTATTTTTAAAATTGTGATTATGTCAAAGTTGGACTCTCCAAGAATTTAAATTTAGAGATTTGAAGACAAAAATTAAATTTAAGGAAAGATAATAATTGACATGTGCTTTACATTGTGAAGAAAAAGTTTGTGAACCCTCTAGGTTGGCCAATATTCTCAAATATTTTATACCTTAAATACAATTGGACCAGTATGAAAATCTAAAAAAAAAATGAAAATAACATAATATAACATACTGTGTGACATAAAGACAGTAGATATATTAGGATTATTTAAATAAATATGCTTGTGTGAAAAAGTATGTGATCTCTTAGATTTAGTAACCAATGTCACCTCCTTGAGCAGCAGTGACTTCAAATAGACATTCTCTCTGATAAACAGTTTTTCTAATGAGTTTTAGCCCATTCTTCACACAAAATGCATTTCAAGTCAGTGACATTTTATGATTGCCTAGTATGAACAGTGTTCCTGGCATAATATTTCAAAGGGGATTTGGTCCAGACTTTGATTTGACCAATAAAAATGAAAAATTAAGTTTTCTTCTTCAGGCATTCTGTTGCAGATCTTTAGGATCATTGTCTTGCTGCATGACATTTTTGACACAGCTTCTGCTGACAAAAGCAAGGTCTGACATTCTCTTCCAGAATTTGCAGATAAAATGTTGAATTCATGGTTCTATCATTATGGCAAGGCATCTTGGTCCTGAGGTAGCAAAGAGCCCCAAGCCACGATACTCCCACCACCACGTTTAACTGCTAGGACAAGGTTGTTCTGTTATAGGCAGTGTTTGATTTTCTCCTTTTTTGAGGACAAGACTTTTTTTATTATCAAAAACTTTTGATTGTCTGTCCAGGGAGCATTCTGCCAGTAATCCAGAAATAAATCTTCAGCAAAACGTGTGAGGGCAGAAGAAATCATTGATCTCTAAATTTGTTTTTCAAGAGAAGTGGTTTGTCTTGAATTTAGTCTTTTCCTGATGGTTAAAGCATGAACACATACAACAGCCACAATAAGAGAGGCCTACAGACCCTTAGCTGTTTTTCTGGAGTTGTTTGTGATGTTCTGGATAATCTTCCATGATGCTATTGTGGAGACCTTGTAGATGCCCCTTCATGAATGAAAAAAAATGTTTTTACATTTGTACATTTTGTACATGTACAAAACAAACTGTGAGCAACTAAACAACAAATATATTTAGGATTGAGAGAAAATGTAATCAAAATTAATGTAGAAGGTACTGTCAACCCTCCTGTCAAAATGCAAGGTATCTCACTGAAATCATGTTTGGAGATTTAGTACTCAAAACAATTTTTTATTTTTTGGAAAATAATAAACAAATGCATGAGGTATCTTCCATGCGTATTGTATTCAGAAAAAAAAATGCCATTGCAATACAATGTATGTTTTAAGCATCTCTTAAGATTGTACACCTATAATTTAAAATGGTAAGTTAGCAATATCACATTTAGAGCTTTGTATCCCAGAAGTAAAAGGACAATTAACAGGGATGTCTTCCACAGAGATATGAAGTATATCTTTTTTTTTAACATATTTTCTCCAACCTTGAAAGTTCTCTTCTTCTTTTCTGCTTTAAACTAGCATCTTTAAGGATTTTGCCATTTCACTGACTTTGGTCTGGGATATTGTATTAAAAGGATCATGAAATGAAGCAAACAAATCAACTATATTTGATTTTGTCACTTAAACGTTTTTTGGGAAAGCTTTGGGAATTCCTTTTATAATAAATTGCATATCATTCATAAATTGCATATCATCATGCATAACTTCACTACAGCTTAGAAAAAGACATTAGTGCTATTGCAATGCCTAAGTGTATGAATTATTTATTTCTATGTATTATATATTTAATCTGTCATATACACATTTGATTTATTGAACCAAAATATATCAGGAAGCAGAGCAAAATATCCAAATACTTCTATTTCTTATTTAATACAATTTAAATCTTATGGGATATGTAAAAACAAATAAATAGGAGTAGCTGATATCTTAAACTATGCTATTTGATACCCCATAATTATATTAACCTGAGGATAAGAATTTGTTAAATGTTTTATTTTTAAAACAAGTTTTTGTAAGCCTAATGTTCATTTGGTCATTTAATTTGATAGCATTATCTTCCCTCAGGACTTTTAATTTCTGAAAATGTTATAATTGTCATTTTTCATCCTTGCTTGTTTACTTTTTATTTCTTTTTACTAAAAGCAAGACTTATGTGTAGTGCTACTGAAATAGTAGAACAGTATTGTAATTTATGTTACACTGGTATCAAAGGAAAAATTCATGCTAAATTACCAATAATAAAGCAAGAGACAATGGAAAATAAATCTAATTTACCCATTTCCTGATTACTTTGCTGCACATTTGTCAATAAATTCTTCCACTGATCCAGAAAGCAGGTATAATAAGTTTCAGCACATTAGATTGTGTGTTGTCTTGGGTTATTCTGGTACAAATAAATAGTTGCATATCAAATTAGAAGTCATTAATATCAACATTAACACTAATCTGATCCACAAACGCTGTCTTCCATATATGACCAGAAGCAGTTGGTGGATCTGCCATATATGTATTCATAATTAACATTTTCAGAATCTCACCTATTTGGAGAAAAAGATTATACAGAATCTGGATTTTCTTTCACATTAGTACTGCCTGGATCAAAAACCTCATATAAAAAATGGGCTTGCAATTTTGTTTTAGTCTGATTTGTGAGTCTATTCATTCATTGGTATATTATTTTTCCAAGTCCCTGTTTTTCAGACATGAACATTCAGAAATGTATACGGTATGTGCCGAGTCACTTCATATCCTTACATCATCACTTTAATTGTAAGCTTTACCTATAAAAACTCTACTACACAATTGAACACCATGAATCTATCGAAATAGTTAATTAAAAATTATTCCTTTGATGTGGCCCGACTGTATTTGTCTAACATTTCTCTGCATTGTCTTCACGTGTTATCCTATGTGTTAAAAATATGCTATTTCTGATGTACTTTTATGTGTATAGATGTTTCTTCTTATGTCTTCTGGTGCTTGTATTCAAAATTCTGTATAGTTGGTGCATTTTTTTGTATTGTAATACTTTTCTTTCTTTTTTATTTTTGTTTCCACTTGTGTGCATGCATTTGGTCTGCAACAGTGATTTAAGAGACGTCTGTGTTTCCTGTGTGTTTCTATTACATGTTAGCTCTCATTGCATGCCATCAAGTCAAATATTCTAGACTGTATTGTTCCTTTCATAATGGAATCACAGAACACTAATAATAAAGTGATTTCATATTACTTTTTTTCCCCTCTGGTTTCTAGCACCATGTAGATCTATAAATATAAAGGTGCAAATGAAAAAAATAGCCCATATTATATTAAAAGAGCGGTATTTTGTAACTACAATTATCACTAAGACCAGTTACAATATATTACTTTTTTTGCATTTGTATAGATTGGACAATGATTTGAGGCTATTGAAGAATTATCGTACAAATGTCACCCAGCTATGCTTCACATACAGTAACCCAGAAAATCTTGTTGTTTAAGAGAAAACACCTATTTTGTTCATTAACACTTATTATTTTAACACAGGGCTATCCCTAGGCTTCCAGAAATGTAGACCAAGTTCTGTTCTGCTACATTTCAGAAATATCAGAAATGTAGGATAACAGAGCTCACAGCTACGATATACAGTACAAACAAAAAGGTACAGTATATACTGTAAACTTCATTCCTTGTGGTGTTTGTAGTGCTGTACTTGATACATAGAACCAGATATTCTTAGTTTACTCATCATGATGTTGCAGCCAACTTTCCCAGAAAGAAATACTAATACTGGGTCTCACTTACATACTGTACAGCATACAAGGAAATTCACCTAAGTAAGAAGCATTTTTGTGAAGTTTAGAGAATGCAGTTTATTGACAATAGGTGATGGTGAAAACACTGGCACTTTTAACCAAGGAAACCTGGAACCTGGAAGTTGGTAGAGAGGTGTTGCCTCACGACTGGGAGCTAGGCCCTCACGGGTAGGGAAGGAAGAGGAAGACTCCCCTTCCTCATTTTGAGAAGTGCCGCCTCACGACCAGGCTATGCTGTCAGTGGATAGAAAGGAGGAGATAGTCCTTGACTCACTGAGAGTTGCATGAGAGGCGGTGCCTCGCAACTGGGAACGAATCCCTCAATGGGGAAGAAAAAGAACCCCTGACTGGAGAAATCACTTAAGAGGCGCTCCTCAAGGGGTTGAGAATGAAGAAGAAGCTACTCGAGAAGGAAGAGAAAGAGTCCCCTGACTCGCCGAGAGTCGCTTTGAGGCGCTGCCTCGCAACTGGGAACGAGAATTAGAAAGCTAGACTTCCCAAGAATAATGTGGCCAGGAGTCCCCTCTGGCTCTCGCTTGAGAAAGTGGTGTTAATGTGAAGGTAGAGAGCAGAGGAGGGCAAATGGCAAACTGTTTAAATAAGCTGAATATCCAAAATAGCTTGGGCAGTGGCAGCTGAAGAAATGAGGAGAATAGGAGAGTAAAACCAAGGGTTGAGACCAGCATTGGAGATCAAAACTCACAGTTGAATAGAAAACATGTACTTTACCTGGTTACAGAAGTATTCACAGCAAAGTGGATCAGGTTAGATGAGCATAGAAAGGAAAGTGAGAGACTGGGATACAAGACAGGTCACAGAGTCAAACACTCAATTCTGGAAAATGGAATACAGAGAAACTGGTGAATTGCAGCTTGTAGAATCTGCGGCAGCCAGACACGTTGCATCAAAGGGGTATGCTGGATTCCTCGGTGCGAGATGTAGTGCTGGAATAGTAAGCAGTGAGGACATAAAAGAGACTGAAGTGTGGGGTAGAACTGAATCCCAGAGGTAAAATCCTCTAGCTCCTGGAAAACAGTGGGGATAGCGAGGTTAAAATAGAGATGAAGGCGGCTGGTGGAATGGGTGGAAGGTAGTATATGTAGTCCTGGCAGAAGAGTAAGTTGCATACTGTAGGTAGATGGAACTAAATCATGTAGTAACGTGCCCATTGAAATCTGGGTGGAGATTTGGTTCTAGACTGTGGAAATCCGGAACTTGAAGGGGAAAAAAGCTGTGATGGGCATCAGGATGCGGGATTTGGGTAACTGTGAATCGTAAAGAGCGTTGGCTGCAGTATTGGAAAGGTCAGAGAGGTATTTCACGCCAGAGCTGAAAGAAATCCAGGCGAGATGGCGAAGGAGGCTTGAAATTGGGGGGGCAGAGGATCTTCCTACAGGTATTTCAGTAACAGAAGAGGTGGATTTGAAATCAAAATAAAAATTGATTACCCATCCTCTGGTTTCCCTGGACATGGATGGCAGCAAGAATAGGGTAGAGTTCCAGAAGGGCTGACAATCAACAAGGGGTGGGAGATCTTGTATTTGAAAGGGCCAGAAGTTACAATAAACCATTGAGCATTGAATATTACTGCAAGACTGATGGCAGAAAAGAGACAGGTAGTCCAGAGTAGAACCCCAACAGAGAGGCAGTTCCACAGTGGCGGACTAAAAGACCCACATTCTGTTATCCTTCCAAGCATCAGATGATAAAGTAATGTGGGCATTGAGACAGACAGACAGAAAGTGAGAAGAAGGGAGAAAGATTTGCCTTGAGGTACTCTGTAATGCAAATTGTGTAATTCTAATGCTGCAACTAGGATAGCAAGTCTCATTTAGCAATAATTTCGAAATCTGAAAGTCAGAGAGGAGGGAGGAAATAGAGACAGCTTGTCAGAAGGAAAGTGAGCTGCAAATTTAACTGTCTCTAAAGTGATAAGACTTTCTGCTGGAAAGCTTACGAGAAGCAATACCAAAATGGGGTGATCCAGTATAGCTAAGAGGAGGCTCTAGGAAAGAGCCAACGAGAAAACCTTTCAGATCCCAGCTGGCATCAAGGTGGCTCAGAAGTAAAAGGAAGAATGGGACAAGAATAAGATGGAATTGAAAACAAGCCAATAGAAACATCTCGAAGACCGTCTAGAGGGGAGTTAACAAGAGGGGAGGGAAGATGCTGAAGGGCGTGCTCCAGGGTGGGAATACAAATGGGTGTATGAACTTGGAAGAAAGAAGAGAATCATTTCGAGCAGTGGAAAAGCTAAGTCTAGGGCGTTCCACTGCCCTAGGCTTAGGTTAAATTACAAGTTAATTCAGACTGAAAATTTAATTGGGCATAAAACAAAGAACCACCTTAGCAAAGATCAGCTGTAGTAGTCCACCCCTGGCTCTGGAGAAGGTGAAAAGAACAGATGACATTCCTAAAAACAGAGAAATGTATGATGATTTATGTGGTTGTAAATAATTAATATATAAATAAATGTGACTACCAATATAAGTAATTTGCAAATCAAATTAATTTGGGAGCATATTGTCATGAACTTGTCATAAGATATGAAATTATAAAATGTATTCATAAAAAATGCACAAAACCAAAAATATGTATAATACTTGTCAAAAATTTTAAAAATATGTATAAAATTATAAATATGCAGATGTTTGGACAAGTCTTAATATCAACAAAATGGCACAAGGAATCTAAAAGGATAGTGCACTTTTGGAATTTAAAGTTACAGGTGGAGGGGGAGGAACTCTCTCTTTCCTAAGTGTGGCAATGTTATGCAGCACAGCACACGAGACAGAGATGTCATGTACATGTTGTTAATATGACACCATACTTGTACATCATTTAATAATACGGGAAACAATGTGATATTGGAAACTGTACATTATTATTATTATTATTATTATTATTATTATTATTAGCAGAAAATTATTGCTAGTTGTTTAACAAAATTAGGTATATTGGAAAAACAAGGTTAACAAATCAAATAAGAAATAATAGCATTATAAATAGCAAATTATTAATAGCTAGTAAATTATTTTTTTTAATCCACACTCTAAACCATAGGCAAGAAATATCTACAGCCTATACCTTAATTTCATGTATACATATTAGAAAAATATACTGGAATATACATATACTGTATATGAGATAATTGTTTAAATTTTTAATCCTTATTTTATTCACAGAAATCACAGTTTTTTACTTCAATAAAAATAAAAATCAGGTAACACTAAATACTGCTAAATTCAGTAAAACTATTTTTCATACCTGATTTATACATTGACTTTGTCTTGCTTGTTCAGCTGTGTTTTGAAATATCCTTGCGGGTCAACATTTAGTCAATAATTATAATTTTCTTGGGATTTGATATGTGGAGTTGTATCAGACTGTTACAGGCTCTGGCTCAGTGCTCTAGCACTAAAATTTAAAATAAATAAAATTCTCAAAGCAAGATTCACTATTGTTACTGTGCATGTAGGCAAAAGAAAACAGAATTTGTGCAAAAATGCATAGTTTTATTTTAAGCCTCACATTTTTGGCTATCATTACTCACTTACTTGTCCACTTGGTTGCACTACTTACTTGTGGTGCAAAATATTTAAGGTTTGTTCTTAGTGTACATGGGGCCCTGAAATGGAATCTTCTCACTAGCGTGTACTTCCTGCTCGGATATTTCTTGGACTCGCAACCCACTTTGTCCTGACCTGAGCTTTTGAATTTCCCCAGTGTTTTGCGTCATAGTTACAGACTCGACTAGTTTCTGGGCCTCAGCTTGGATTCCCTTGGTGCTTTGCTGAGTGTCTTCCAGACTTTGACTTTAATTATTTTGGATAACAAAGCTGGATGGTGTTTGTCTGTACATGGTCCTACTTGTATTTTCAGAGTACTACCACAGCACACTGCCAGCAGCTTCCCTGTTTCATCTTTCTCCCGCCCAGCATGTGGGTTCACTTATGTCTCAAAGCCACTGCTTAGTTCCACCTTAAGTAGCGGGTATGGCTTTAATGATTTTTTAAATATGTGCAGAGATTTTTACTTACGGGTATAGTAAGTATATAATGTTTGCTTACATAGGCAATACTTAAGATAAAGTATTATCTTTGTGTATGATATCAACAGCTACCACTGTACTGTATATAAATATATATTTTATTTAATGGCTAACAGAATTTAATTAAAACCCTTGTATTTTAATACAAGGTTGTATTTCTAATTGTCATTACAGATTTGCATCATAATACTGAACATAGTAACAAAATACATTTCTTGCTTTGGTTAAACTGTTAAACTGACTGTGAATGCAGATTCCAAACTCGTTTTCTTTGCAACTCATCTCAACCTCTATCTTTTGTGAAAGTAGCATATACATGCCATAGCATCCATTGATCTTTCAAATGCAATGCTTAGATTTGTACATTTTCCAATTTCAACTTT